TAGTAGTACTAGTACTAGCAGCAGCAGCAGCAGCAGCAGCAGGAGGAGGAGGAGGAGGAGGAGGAGTAGTAGTAGTAGTAATGGTCGTGGTGGTGGTGGTGGTGGCGGCAGTGGCAGTGGCAGTGGTAGTGTGGTAGTAGTCGTAGTAGTGGTAGTGGGTTGCACTAGTGGTGGTACTGTAGTGGTCGTAGTGGTGCCAGTGGTCGTGGTGGTGGCAGTGGTCGTGGTGGTGATCGTCGTCGTAGTAGTAGCACTAACAGCAATGGCGGTAGAAGCAGATATAGCAGCAGCCGCAGCCGCGGCAGCAGCGGTAGCGGCCACACAGGGTCACAGCAGCAGCGGCGGCAGCAGCAGCAGCAGCAGCAGTAGTACCGTAGTACCAGGGGCCTCAATAGTCAACAAATTGCTATCTCATGCCTTCCACACGCCTTGGTCAATCGTGGCATTTCAATTTTACACCCGACGGCCCCGATGCCGGTTCCCATCGCGGAGGTCCCAGCCCTGACATGTGTGTTCGCGGACTCTAATAAACGTACGGTGCCTGAACCTTTCATAACCCGGAAACCCCAAACACCCAGCCAAACCTAAATCCCACAGCTTCAGAAAGCCAAAAACGCGCTCGACGACCCCGAAACTCCGACCCTGAGCAAAAGCTTTTGGCCTCGAAGTAGTGGACGAAGTCCGGACCCGTCAGCGTCGAGCTTGGGCTAAGGGTACGCACCAGGAGCCGCTCCAGTGTGTGCCTTCGATGGCAGATTTTTTTGCAAGTTCTTCAGCGGTTTTAGGCTAAGGGTTGTTGGTGTATCGTTTCGGGTTCAGGTCACATGTTTGCAGCTTGCAATTTGCCAAAGGAGGGGGGTTTCGATGGGTTTCGTCGTCTGCCTTTGGTAGTTCAGACACTGTTTCCGAGCCTCGGATCAAAGCAATGCTGCAACTGCTTCTGGCACGGTGACTAGATGTTGTACCTAGGTACTTGCTCTTAAGCCTTACGCACCTGCGTCTTCATTTTTGGATTCGTGACATTCCTTGAGGACCCCAGGCTTCGGGGGTCAAGGTTGAGGGCCTTCTTCCTCTGACGATCCTCTCCAAGCCATCAAGCTCAACGGACTCCTTATGGCTTTATAGCAGCCCTCATGCATGATTCCCTCCTGCTCCGGGCTCGGCGGCTCGGCAGGGACGACCACGAGGAGACTTACGTGCATCAGGGGTCAGCTTTGCCGTGTACAGAGGAATCACCATGAGAAGGCTACCTGCAACGAGCTTTTGCAGGCCCTGAAGATGATGCCCGCTCTGTCAGCAGTCATCCAATCGGAAGCTGGGGTGCGCATTGTGCCAGTACTGCTCGTTGGTCAGAAGCAAATGATCAAAAGCCTCGGCTCTCGAGCGGACACTCTTGCAAAGCAACGAAGCACGTGCAACTCGAAAGTTCCAAGCATACCCTGCAATGTTAGGATCATGAAGAAGTATGATACAGTAGCCAACTTTGTCCATCCGAGACAAAGCCTAGCAGAACCAAAAAAATCCAGCTCGCCAGAATGCGGGTTCCAATAGGAGGTATTCATGTTTCTTTCGCAGATTCTTCAGAAAGAGCCCTGAGACATCCCCTGCAAAACCCCGAGTCGAAAACCTGCTGCAGGTCACAGCCTGATCCCAGACCCTCAACCGCATAAACCCTAAACCCCAGACCCTAAAGCCCAGACCCCTAAACTCCTAAACCATCCCCGAACCCCAAACCCTTTAAACCCTAAGCCATGGGCCTCGAGGCTTCCCAGGCCGGCATGCCCAGGGTAGGCCGAGCAGTTGTGATCGAAGCCTCTTCGACTCTTCGTGGAGTTCAAACTGCGAGTCCCGAAAATTGCGTCGGGATTTTACGAAGATTGGATTTTTGGTTCTAAGATTTCCGAGCTCACGGCGAACCGGATGTAAGGCTCCACGATGGGATATCGACATGCTTTTGGCTCCACGCACGTACTGAAATCCTAACACAGCCTGAACCTACGCTTCCGAATCCTATCTACCCGGAAGAATGCGGTGGCGACGATAGAGGCTGAAATGCTAGAGTTGAAGGGTCTGCGCTTGGACCTCATGAGGTCCCGGCTTCTTGGTTTTGAAGATCTATGCACACATATATCTTGCCATGATAGTCATTCAATGTCTTCTCTTGTTTTATCATGTGGCACCCGCTGTTGATCGTCGTCGTCGTCGTCGTGCTGTCTTGCCCATGCCTGTTTTGTAAAAGCTTAAGCGCAAAAAGGAAAGCCCACACTCCTAACTTGTGACAAAAACATGCAGACATATGCATATATATATATATATACACCCACACACATGATGACATGGAGCCTAGAGCCAATGCGCCTCCGGCTGGAGGCGTGAAGGAGTTGTTGCACATTCCAGCCCAGCTTCCTGAACGGTACAAGCGTACGGAGCGAAACCCGCAATCAGAAGCGCATAGGATGCCAAGTACTTGAGCCGTGGGTGGAGGGTCCCGTGTCGAACGCCGACACGATGGAGACCGCATTTGCCACGCTGGGCCGGAGAACAACTGTGATGTCGCCATACCTCAGGCGCAGCAACCACCATTGCGCAAGTAACGAAACCATAGCCAGAGTCCTCGCGACCCGAACCCGACAAGCGCGCCAGCTCTACAACTTCTGCGTTGCCGAAACCATGTCGCAGCCAGTCTAGACACCAACTCCAAAGCTCAACCCTTGAATCCGACAGAACGGATTGCCATCGCCACTCAAAGTCCAATGCCGCAAGGCACCATGCTATCTTACTGCATCATGAGCCACGGCACTGCAGCTCCCGCTTCTGCTGCAAACATAAGCAAGCATGTACGATGGATGGATGGATGGATGGATGGATGGATGGATGGATGGCTGGATGGATGGATACTACACGGCATTGCCAATACGACTCAGGAGCTGTCGTTGACTTGGGGTTGTTGAGGTTGGTCCAAACATGTCGGCTGCAAGCAAGAACTCTTTGTATGACCAACACCCCCCCCCCCCCCCCCCNNCACCCCCCCCCCCCCCGCTCCACCCATCGCTCAAACACCTTCTGGAAATACGGAGCACGAGGCACAAGGGGCTACCAGCGTCCGTTCGCAGAGCATTGAGCGCGAAGTAAGGTGCCCGTTCCCTGGCTTCTGCCATTGTCCTTCAGCGGGTTCAGACAATTAGGGCGAGCTGGAGCTCACTGATTCTTACGAAGACGGTTTCAGTCGAGAGTCGTTTCAACACAAGATCTGACCACTCTTTAGCACCTTTCCTAGTTCAATCACAATGCCTGAAACCTTCAACACTTCCACACCTCGCTGCAATGTCCCCAGTCCTGGGCTCGGCATGAACTTCGAATGGCTTGAAGCCAAAGTAGGCCGCCCTTCGCATCAAGGTTGAGCCAGCAATGGCACGAACGGCGATCCCGCGGAACACTAACCTCTAAAACTCTAAAACACCACGGACCCCTGAAGCCCGATAAATGATCAGGATTGAGGAGAGCTTAAAGCGGCTGCGTACTATGCGGCATAGCATTGACTCTAACCTTCGGGGCCCCGGAGGGCCCCGGAGCCTTGAAACTTGTTTCAACAGAGATATGGGGCTGGAGCGGGTTTCGAGCTCTCCGCCATAATCCAAAGTAAAGAAGGAACTCTTCCAGTGGCCTCTGTGGCCTCTCCCAACACGGTCTAAACAAGTGTTGTGGTGGGCAAGCCCTCTGAAAGCTTGTAGCTTAATCCCCGGGAAGAGAGTGCGCGAGAAAGCAAAGTGCCGAGGCGCTCGATCCAGTCCAAGCCGAAGCTGTAGTTAGACAGCTCTGCACGATTCCGCACCCAGATCTCCCAGAGGTTCCTGGTCATCTTTCTTCGGTGTGTTGGGGTTTCTGGTCTACATTTCATACGAATTTTTCTAGGATTCTTGCGTGTAGGCGTTCCTACAGGAAGCAGGATCCACCATTCGCTCACGTAATTTTCGCTGAATCCGAGCCAAGCAACTCGTAGTAGGGAATCCGTTCCGCCTCATCCAAAGAGAATGAGAACCACGAAGCGTTGACCTGACAAGGCCCGACTTTCGAGAGGATCGAAGACTAGAGCCCTGTGACCCCAGACTTAATTGTCCTCAGTTGGGAGGTGCATTATGCTAGATATATCTAGCAGCGGCAGGCAGGAGAAGGCAGGCCTGTGCGCTGAAGCCTGAGACCACCTCTGCGCTTCGCACCTGGCCGAGACGCACGGATGCCGGATCTTCACGTTGATGGGCTTAAGATCGGAAAGCCGAGATGTCACTACAAAGCTTAGGCTTCATTCCACCTACACAGATCGGACTCGCCGTCTCACAACTTCCCCGCCTCTGCTCGCAGGCGCTCGGCCAGGGCGGGTGCCGGAAGCGCTGCCGCCTCCATGGTGACAACCAGGACCCGAAAGCACCCTACCCTGAGTGCTGACTGAAGGTGCACAAATCCCGTATAGCTTTGGGTTTTTCTGACTTGGGCCCCCAGGCTTGGGGCGTTCAGCTGGAAACTGCCGAGCCTCCTTAAATCGTGACACACCAAGAGCAGCCGACAGAGCGAGAGTGCCCGAGCATTCTTCTCCCACAACACTCACACCAAGCAATCAAAGAACTTATCCTTTCCCTTTGCTGGGAGAAGCTTGAACCAGCTCTTCAAACCTAGGCATATGGTGTGCACTTGTTCAAACACCGTTGAACATGTGCCTCTTCCCTGAAGAAGAAGCACTGAGTTTAAACCCCAAAGCCAACATCCTCGAGAATCGGAGATATATTATATTCCTTCGTGGAGAAGACTTGCTGCAGCGGCACAGATGGACAGCACTTGCCCAGGGCTTCCCGGATGTCGCTGCCTTGCTGGGGAAGCAGGGGCCGAGGCTGCAGGCTGAGGCTTCACCTGCTTGAAACTTAGGTCAACCCAAAGTCGGACACTTATGTAGAACTTCCATTCCAGGGCTCGATTCATTGCGAACCTGGCGGTCTAGATTGCGACCTCTGTGCAAGCATTGTGTAGGCGCTGAAGTCTCCAACTTTGTTCAATCTCCAGCTCTATCTACACGGACAGACATAGTGCAATGATAGACAGACTAATAGCTGCATGCTCAGACGACTAGGTGGGCATATGAACAGACAGTTCGACAGATTGACAGCCAGATCGACCGCTAGGTAGACTCATCGATTGACGGTCTATCTGCGAAAATCATGCGAGGATAGGCCTGCACTTAGGGTTCAGCATAAGGCTGAGACAAGGCTGTCAGTGGGGTTAATTGGAGTTTTTGTGATGTTCTTGCCAGGGCCGTTGAGTTTGCTGGTGAAGGGGGGAAATTCAGATTCCATGACGTCCCACTGTAGGAACCCTGTTTGCAAATGGAGTCATCTTTCGCAGAAGTATACACGCTGCTCTTCACCGTGAATTTATCTGAACTCTGCGCTTCCCTTCTAATTTAACTGAGGGTCTACAATCTAACTGCAAGACACAGGGGCTGTCTAGGCGAGCATAAAGCGACTGCTCGGCCGCTGCCGAGGCTTGCCGGGCAGTGGCATGCACCTATCTGGCCACACTTGCTAATACAAAAACACCAGAGCATGGGACTACGACGTACTAACGGTGTGGTTGGGATTGAGACTCAAAGTGTTCGCGTTTGACCATGGCATCTACATATGCTGGACTGCTCAGAATGCAACTTTCAAGCAGCAGGGGCGGGGGCAGATTAAAGAGGTGCCAAATTATCAGATATCACTATACCGTGCAACGGATGCAGATAGATGCCGAGGTTGAATTGCAACAAGAGCTACCAATAGCTCACCCTCACACCACTCTCGATCCCTCTACGCCAAAAGACCCGTCAAGCAGAGTCTGTCAGCAGGTCTTGCTTCGGAGGTAAGCCTGGCGAACTAGGTTCCGCTGCCAGGATGTCTGGGCCGGCTCCTGCCGGCTCCAACAGTCTCAAAGTTCGTCTTCTGTGCTGTGTTATGTCTACGGGACTGGAGATGGTACATGCTGTAGTGGCAGCTAATGCACGGCGAGGTTTTGTCGTAGCGTGCGGCATATCGCCCATCACGTCGTGCATGGCTGAAACGCTGAGGCTCCTCCGTCGCAGAGGCAAAGTCCATGAACAGCCATACCACAGTGCGCCACATCACCGGCAGGTGGAGGGACAGGGAATTGAGGAGGGGGCTGAGGGCTCCCGGGGCTCGTTTTTGAGGGCAAACGGTGAACAAGATCCCAAAAGCTACCTCGGGGCTCGATGCAACGCTCCACCCAAGGTCGTCAATACAACAGAGTTGGGACTGGGTTCGGCCACTGTTCGGCCTTCAGGGTTGGAGTGGAGGGTGTGGGGTAGTGGGGCTCCAGGTTTGCCACCTAGGTCTACGATTTGAGGTTCCAAGCTCGGCCGCAGTGACGATAAAGATGTGAGTTAGCAGTTAGCGGATCTGTCGCGAAGTACCACAGAGCGGAGAGCTGCGCCTGATCCAAAGCTGCAGCGGAACCTTGCTCTCGGTCTTCTCAGACACTGCAAAAAGCCTTGCCAAGCTCAACTCTCAACCCCGAAGCGTTGAATCTCCTCACTTCAAACGTCCAAGCCCATGCTGCGGCCCCGGATTTGACAGCAACGAAATCTTAAAGAATTCTGCCCACGCAAGTGCCGTGGCCGATACATCTCCAGGAAGGACTCTGCGAGCTTGTCCTATCGGCCCCAGCTTCACGACAGGGGCTTGAGACTTCGGACTTCTGAAACTTAACTCCGAGGGCCTGGGCTGACTCTTGTGCGAAGTGCCCCTTGTGGCTTGCGGCGGCTGCTGCTGCTCCTCCTCACCTCCACCATCACCGTCGCCGTCATCACCGTCATCACCGCCACCACAACCACTACCATCGGCATCGCCGTCGCTATCATCATCGCCACCCTCATCCTCACAATCATCATCCTCATCATCCTCATCATCATCATCATCATCATCACCAGCAGCATCACCAGCATCATCACCAGCATCAGCATCAGCAGCAGCATACCCCCATGTTCTTCCTCTGCTGCCTGATCCCCTCATCTTTTATAGGATGAGCGATGGGACGAGCACAAGAGACCCCCGAAGTCTCAAAATCCCAGAACCACTGAGCATCCCTGCACCTGCACTCTGACATCTAAGCTCTGAGGCTTTTCATACTATAATATACTATTATAGTATACCACAATGTACCATAATATACTATAATATACCATAATAATTCAATAAACTTTAATATACTAAAGAGGCGTCCTCCAAGAGTCTGGTGATGGCTCGTCTCAGGGGCCGGGCCCCGTAGACTGGGTTGAAGCCCTCATCCACTACCTCGCCAAGAGTGCACCCAAGGCTTCGTGTTTAGGGTTTCGAGTTTAGGCAGCTCTGGTGGAGAAAGATCTTGCCAGCTCGTCACCTGCGAACTCGATACCGCGGGAATAGCAAGCCCTGAACTGAAATAAACAAAAACTCTCGTACAACGTCCCAACCTCAGAGACCACAACCAGAGGCCTGAAAGTCCTGCCCAAATCTGGACTCTCAACCGACTGCTGCGTCTTC